TGATCTTTGTAATTATAAATTGTGAATACATGTGACTAATATTATTTTCTTTTTTATTTTGTGCATGTTACAAGTTATAAATAAATATAAACAAACAACACTAACTCGATAACATTAAATCTAAATACCAAAACGACTAATTTACTGTGTTTTTGTTATTTATTACTCCTGTTTTTAGGTATTCGGTATTCGACCGAATAGTGATTAAATATTCAGTATTTGGCCGAATAGTGAAAAATAGGCCGAATAACGAATAGTAACCGAATATTCGTTACATCACTAGTAGAAATCCATTTGCCTCTAAAGGCTGTTATTCTTAGGTAGTTCAGTTATAGATTTGGCTCTAATTAGGTGTGATGTCACTAGTTTCAGTTTTTGCAGTTTTGGATAAAGTATTTAGTAGTCATTTTCCCATCAGGTGGAATTTAAACTAATTTGGAAGAAAAATTAATTACGAAAGTAACGAAACCAAGATCACAGTAAACTTTAGGTTATTTTAGAAGAGTGATTGCATTTTAGTGGTGGATCAAAAATATAATGAGTTAATGTCAAGAATTCAGAGTTGATAGCTGATTTTTGATGCAGTTGGTAAGAGAAATTTTTGCTGATTGGAATAAGAAATGAGTTTGATAAATTTTTTGGTTTGACCTGGACTGTAGAATGAGAATTTTAAGAAGGAATTGAGCATTGAATGCAATGAGATGGGCAACATTTAGAAATCAGATTGCAGTAGCTAACTTTGTTAAGGTGTGGAATGTCACCTGAAAATTTATGTAGCGCAAAGAAATTATTTCTGCAGAGATTGAACAAAGACTTGACTTCTGGAGAAGTATGCAATTTTGGAAGTGCATTAATTTTTTTTAAGGCCAGGCATTTGAGCCAGCCAGATTTGGAGTGGATATAACATTTTTTGAAAGTATTTGGTTCAGAATGTTACAAACCAGATCTCTTGTTTTGAATTTACTTCTTTGGAAGTAGAATCATCTGTGTCATCAATGAAAGATGAAACTGCTCCATGTATGGATGGCATTTCTGTAGAATTTTATAAAAATTGTCCTGGACAGTTTAATTATTTAGCTTCTTTGTTTAATAATATCTATAAATCGAGAGACATTCCACCAGATTGACATGCAAGTAAAATTATTCCAATACACAAAAAAAGGTTCTTAGAATTGTCCAGAGAATTAGAGTTATTTTGTTATTACCCACTATTTCTAAGATATTCTGTAAGATTCTGTATAGGCAATTACTTATGTGGCTGGGTAATTATGGAGTATTTTTCAGATTGGTTTTCATTCTGGTTTCTCAGCCTTGGATAATATTTTTGTATTGTACACCTGTATTCAAAAAGTTTGAGGGGAAAATGAGGGAAACTTTTTACCTTTTTCATAGCTTTTTCAATCAGCATTTGATTGTCTGGATTGAGATATTTTATGGTGACATTTATGTAGAAACGGTCTAAGTTATAGATTTGTTAATTGTCTAATCCAATTATAAACTAATTCAAAGACTTGCTGTACTATTAATGGAAAGAATTCAAATCTATTTTTTACACATAAAGGGATTAAATCATATTGTTAATAAAGCAAATGTCGGTATAGAGAAGATTATTCAGGTATGTGGGGTTTGTGCTGCATAGTGCCAAAATCACCACTTGGTGATAGTTTTATTAAAGTGGTGATAAAAATATAATTCTGGCAATAGTAAGTGGCAATTAAAACTCCAGTCTGTTTGTCTTGACATTTAGCGTGAAATTGAATCACAAATCATACTTTGGGAAAAACAGCAAAATGTTGAGCTTCCGTACAATGGAAGTCCTGAACACCACACACCTAGCGATTTCATGACATCACGTGGTAAGTTTGGGCAGAAAGGTAAGATGTAACATTGAGAACTGAAGGAAGTTTTGTGCAATGCCACCCAGTGTTTCTTGAGTTGAAATTTATTGACTGACAGAAATTTTGGGGATTTTTTTTTGGAATAACTTTTTTCCCACTTTGATCTTTTTTCAGTACACTAAAACAAAATCTTGACATGAAAAAACCTGTGAAGTACTGTTTAAACATTATGATAAAATGTATTATTCAGAATTATTCATTAAAAAATTATTCAAAAATGATTGCTATTGCTAACAAGGGAAGGACCAGACTTTTGGGTCTCTGTGAACAAAACTTGGTGAACACGTAGCCTTAAGCACAGCTCATTAACCAAATAATAGGACCCACTTCTCAATCACTTTGAAAAATTGGATCTCTGAAAATTTAGTGTTTAGGTTATAAGTATTTGGAAGTTCCACATCTCAGATTGGCAATAACAAAGCGAATAAGACCCTAGGTACTGGACATAGATGATGGAGGTTTGACCCTTCGTTTTAGTTTAGTTTTTATGTGTGACATTATTTTATGATTTTACAACATAATTACCATTATTATTACTATTATTATTCCTCGTGTTTAAAGCTTATAAAACAAGAGATTAAAAACTGTGACGTCATTTCTTGTTTAGTGAAAACAAGCCTCTGTAGATTTAAATCTTTAACATTGTTAAATAAGACTTTTATTTCTCCATATTTATTTCCACATATTTTACATACTATGTCCTCACAAGCAAATAAGCTTTGGAAGTTACTGCACATGGATGAAAAAGACAAGTGATATGAAAATAGGGTAGTGCAGTAGCAATGTTTTATTTTTTAATTGTCAATATTATGGACAATATCCTCATGTGCTCATGTTTGTTATGATTCAAAAATCACAATACCACTATATATGAAAATAAATATGAAGAAAATTTTATTTAATAATGTTAAGCATTAAATTTAAAGAAGCTTGTTTTCTGTAAGCAGGAAATGATGTCACAAATTTTATTTCTTGTTTTATAAGCTTTAAATGTGAGGAATAATAATATTAATAATAATGGTAACGATGCAGTAAAATAATAAAATATGTCACATATAAAAACCTAAATCAAAATTCTAAACCTACATCAACCAGCTCCAGAGCATTGCTTCTTGCTTGGCTATTGCCACTCCTGAATATGAAACTTCCAATTCTTTAACTAAACACTAAATTTTCAGAGGCCACTTTTTTGGAAATGTTTGAAAAATAGATCCTATTATTTGGATGAGGAGCTGTTTGCGTTTAAGGTTACGTGCTCACCAAGTTTCGTTCAAATTGAAGATCTGAACTTCTGGCCCTCTCCTTATAAGTGACAGTTTAGTTTTGCTTTCCAGACAATAAACTGATAAGGCTACTGGCACCTGCATTAATTAATAAGTAAAACTGGTGGTAATAAACAATATAAAGTGGTAAAAAAATTAAAACTGGCAAAATTGTGGCAATATTTTTAAATTTTCCAGAGCAGCCCCTGAGTATATAAATCTGGCAGATTAACAGTGTGGTTGAATAAGGTGAAATTATTTGAAGCTTTTGTTTAATTGTCAATATTTTATGGTTCAGAGATTTGGAGTTTTTCCTGAACAGAAATAGAAAATACCATTCAACTGAAGTTTATTAAGTACCTTTATTCCTTAAAGAGATGGATTCCCTCTTATATAATCTATTTAGAATTTCAAAGAGTTCTGTTAAAAATTAATATAATAATAAGTATCTTAAGATGAACAGGTAAATGTCCAGTTAGTGAGCTTACTGTTAAAGCAAAGTCATATTTACTTTCACAAAAATTGGCATGGGGTAATCAATTGTTAGCAATGTTGGAAAATTATGGTTATCAAGGTCATGTATCTTTGTTAAATCCAATAACTGTCTGATGTGTTGGTAAGAATGATGGATAATTATTTAACTGATTTTAAAAATAAAGCTTTAGAGTATAAATTTGATAAATGATTGGGACATGCCAACATACTTAAATTTTGTGAAACAATTTAGGGTGGTTTTAGTGGTATTGCATATACATTGTAATATGTTAAAAAATATGACCTCTCTGAGAGAATGGAAAATTGTAAATTTTGTGGTCTAGAAGTTAGTTACTTTTGATGTTTATCATGTGATAGCTGAATGTAAAGTTTTTATAAACAAAAGGATTTTATATTTGGAAAAGAATTCTTGTCAAGATATGATTTTATAAGTTTGTTACATAAGAATTACATTTGTATATATAATTTTATTGATAATGTTTATTATATTTATTTTCTTGTTTACCAACCAGGAGATCTAAAGTGTTATAAAAGTGGTTGTCATTGTTGATGGAGTTTGCAGTATATTTTGTTGGCAATTTTGTGTGATTAACTAATTATGAATTTTTGTTTTCTGTTACAGGTAATGTGACTTGCTTTATTTTATTTTCTTTTAGTTGTATGTTATGCCAACAGTTCACTGCCAATTTGTGTTGTGTACAATATCCTGTTTTACTGTTGTTGTTTTGCCGATACAGATTGGGCAAAACAATAAACAACTGTTGTTGTTTTGCCCTATCATAAGCTTGTAGTAATAAAATAAACAAATAAAATAATTAAATACTAAGTAATTTGATGTTAGAGAAAGGTGTTACAGTATTAATTAAATACTGTTTAAATTGGCACATGTCTAATTACTTAATATTTAAAAAGAGTAATAGTAATAGAGCTCAGCAATTGTTTGGCTTTAATATATAACTAGTGGATTTGGATGTCTAAAAATTAACATTTTTATTCAGAGGAATAAGCCATAAAAATGCTTAAATCCTACTTTAACTGACAATGGTATCCTTGTATACTGACTTGGCATTTTACCAATTGTAACTTTTATCTACACCAAATACTAACAGCAGCAATTAAATATGTTATTTTTTCAGATCAGATCATGAAACATGAATTCTTTCAAAATACAATTATTTTATAGGATTAACAACACAGTTAGTACAGTGTCTCAATAATAACACAATGGCCAGGTCAATCTCTAATTATGGTTGATTTTTATGAATTAGCAATTTCAAAGAAGTTTGATGTTCTGAAGAGATTTTTGGTAAAAAAAAAAAAAAAGAGATTAAAAAAAAATGAATACCTGTTTCAACAGAAATTTTATATCCAGTATGTAGTTTGCGTGATGATCGTTCAAGTCTCTCTGTATTGTCTAATAACTGGGTTTTCTAATTAATAAATGTACATAATATTAACACATAGTCTATTAATAATATTCAAAATTTTAAAAATTAAAATATTATAGTTTATTAATCATACATGTATTATTATCTAAGGACATTTTTAAAAATTTTGAAATTTGTTTAATTACTCAGACAGACAGAAACTTTCTTTAAAATTATGGATATCTTTCCATAGTGCTAAAGAAATATAAATTACACTACAGTTTTTCAAAATGCATTCTTAATGAATTAGAAGAATTATAATTCAAATTACTCCTCAGTGAAATTGAATAGATGAAAAATGGTAAAATATCTACACCGGAGTACTGTAAAAAATGCACGTATCTATAAGCCTTTTACTGGTGTGCTTTTCATCACACTATACAACAACGTTACAAATGTTTTCGAACCGTTATGGTTCTTCTTCAGATAAAGATCCTCTAACGGAATGCACTTCGATTCAAAGTTGTTAAGAAATACGATCTGGAATGTTGTCCCAACCCAATGATGTCAATATGGACCTGCGCACTGTGCACTATGCATGCTGTGTTCTATCTTAGAGTTTTATCTAGCAGGGCCTGCCAGGCCGTTGATAGAGCGATTTTCTCCTTGTAGTTAATGCAATTACTCTCTTTAATTGTGTGTAGGCATATGTAGATTGCCTCCAGCCATCTGAGATGGTTCGTGTGGTGGGTGATGTGTATAGCCTTTGCTTGAGAGAATATGGGTTCTATGTCCGGGTCTGAAGAGTATACAGCCAGAGTTGTGTTGGATCTTTCATGGTTAATATCTGTTTTATGTTCTTTGATTCGGGTTTCGAGGGGGCGTTTGGTTGATCCTATGTAGACCATGCCTCTATCACACCTGTGATCAATAGGGATGGTGTAGATGCTGGAAAGTTTATTTCTGTCTGGGGTATTTTTCCATTTTGTAACAAATCAAAAATTATAGTGCATCTTCTAAAAGTAATACAGATATTCTTTTTCCTAGCAATCTCAGTGTATTTGGATTTTAGTACCAGATTATATGTGATAGGGATGTTGTTACTAGGAGTATTGTTGGTGAGTTGGTTACGATTTGCTTCCTGCTGTTGTATTTTTTGTTCAGTTTACTTATGAGCCTGTGGTAACTGTGCTGTTTGGCTATATCTTCTATGTATTTCATTTTGGACTGGATTGCTGTTTGGGAAGAGGAGTGCGTATGTGCTCTCCTAATCAAGCTGCAACTTTGTTGTATAGTGTGATGAAATGTGCATCGGTAAAAGGCTTATAGATATGTGCATGTTTTATTGAATAGATGTATAATAAATAGATTAAGTTCAAAAAAATAGGTAACAGTTTATATACTGAAAGTATTAACAACATATTGATATATTATAAATTGACTACATTAACTATGGTCAATAGATAAAATATTGAAAAATGTATTGTAAACATATTGAAAAATAAAATATTAAATTGGAATTCAATGGTCTAATATAAAGTAAATACAGTAGATCCCCCTATAAGACTGGTTCCTATAATTACGATTCCTATAAGACGGCGAAAAAATTGTGGCGGTATCCGTACACAACTGTAAAAAAACTCCTATAATTACGTAAAACGTCATCAGGCAGCCGAACTACTTTCCCGCCGTCCGTAGCGCCACGCTACGGATGTTTNTTTCTGGTAGTAGAATGATTCCATGCTCATAAAATTTCTGACCTTTGCTTGCAAAAAACTGATTCAAGTGATTTTTGACATCCTCATTTGAAGTAAATGTTTTACCATTTAAAAAATTTTGTAAAGATCGGAATAAGTAATAATCCGAGGGTGCCAGATCTGGTGAATATGGTGGGTGTGGTAGCACATCCCATCCAAGTTGTAACAGCTTCTGACGAGTTAGCAAACTTGTGTGAGGTCTGACATTATCATGGTGAAACACTACACCTTTTCTGTTAATCAATTCTAGTCTTTTCTGTTTGATAATATCACTCAATTTGTCTAGTTGACGGCAGTAGACTTTCGAATCAATTGTGGAATTGTCTGGTAGAAGCTCAAAAAAACAATTCCCTTAAAATCCCATCAAACAGAGAGCATCACTTTTTTTTTTGATGAATATCAGCTTTTGAAATGCTTTGAACTAGCTCATATTTTCTACTCCATGATCACTTGCGTTCAACACTGTTGTATACAATCCATTTCTTGTTGCCAGTTATGATTCGCTTCAAAAAAGGATCATTTTCTTGACGTTTGAGAAGCAAATCACAGATGTTAATGCAATGGAGCAAATCCCTTTCTTTAAGAGCATGTGGAACCCATATATCAAGCTTTGAAACAAAACCAAGATGTTTCAAGTGGTCATAAATGGTTGAATTGGACAAATTTAATCTGTTAGCGATTTCTCTTGTTATTTGGCAGTTTGCTTCAATCAATGCCTTTATTTTATCTTCATCAGCTTTAACTGGCCTTCCAGAACATGGTGCATCTTCAATATCGAAATTGCCAGAACAAAATTTTGTAAACTAGTTTTGGCATTGTCGTTCTGTCAATACATCTTCTCCATACACACCACACAATTTTTTCTTGCTTGAACATCATTCTTACCTTTTTGGTAATAAAAGAGCAAAATATGCTGAAAATGCTGCTTTTGATCTTCCATATTTGATGGAACACATAAAATAAACAATTGCACAAAATCCAACAAAATTTTTTACAAATAAGCCTTAAAATGCTAGCTGTCAAAATATATAATGATAATATGGTTTAGAATGAAAATGGCGGAAAAATATGACTAATCCCTCTAGTGGTAAAAAAAACTAAATTACTTTCCGAACAACCTAATAATAAGTTGTTATTAAAATTTTATCTTTAACTTATAATTCAAATTCTATTATTTTATATTTGTTTGTTCCATTCAGAATGATGTAAAAAGGAATAAACATTCTGAAAATGTATAATATAAAACTGAATAAACGAATTGATATATGCCATTACAGTAAATTTCTTAGATAAATCAGCTTACATGAAAATATTAAATGTAATAAAAATATATTTTTATGAAAGTAATCTTGAGACAGAATAATTTTAAGTTTTTAAAGCAAGTTCTTGGTTTGAATGCAGTTATGTAAGTTGATGATGATCTGAAAGGAAATCAAAAACATTTCTAATAAAAATATTTAGCTTTCTGAACTAAGAAGTTTTATTGTTTACACTATATATTATGATGCCAATGTTGCACAAGTTAGTTAATTATACAATCCATAATTATATAAGCATAATTATAATCCATTATTATAATATAAGCACATATAATAATGATTCCACTTTTACTTTGTATAGATCCAAATTTTAAATTAAATAATCACAGAATATTCTATTATAGGAAAATAAAATTATCATCATCATCATTGTGAAATGTTATTTTTATTATGAATACAAACTAATGTCAAATGAATGCTTAATTATATCAGGCTATATTACTACTACTATTATAAATTAAATACTAAGTGGGCAGTGAATTTTGTTGACAATTTTGATGCAATTTAACTAATTATGATTTTTGTTTTCTGTTACAGGTAAGATAATCAATATTGATTTAATATGTTAAAGAGGAATACATATTTGTCAGTAGGCCAGATGGAGTAGGACAAAAGTTTTTCACACAGATATATTAGAGAAGACAAAAATTGTGAATTTGTTACAGGGAGATCTTGATGTGAAAGATGAAACAATCTCATTATTAATTCAATTAAATTTAAATCAAAGTGTCAAGTTAGAGAAAATGATTGCAAAAGTGGATAGGATATTCTCATGGGTGGAGAACTTGGATGAGGTGATTGTGGGATTTGAATCTAGACCAGAGCTATTGGAAAAGAAGTTGATACAGGAGGATGATTTGGCTTCAACTGCAGAACAAGTGAATTTGCAACTGCAGATCTCAGAAATTAGTCTAATTATGGAGTGTTATGAATGTTTTATAAGACGTAATAACATGGTTATTTCAGGTTTTCCTGAGTCAGATCAGGAAGATAAGATCCAAATTAAGGATTCTTTGTTAAATTTTTTCATGATAAGTTGAATGTTGATAATGTTCCCTTAAAAAAATGCTACAGATTGGAATATTGTAAAATTGGAAGGAATAGATTAATTTTTTGTAAAGTTTTGGATAATAGTGATAAATTTAAGTTCAGAAGTATGTCATATGATTTGAAAGGTTCTGATATTTATATAATGGACTAGAGAAGTTAGGAAAATAGCAAGAGCCTTTGTTAAAGAAGAAAAGGGGAAAGGTGCACAGATTAAATATATATGAGGTAATGCAGTTAAGGTGAATGATAAGATTTTCACTTATAATACTTCCTTGAAGAGAATGGAAATGCAAGGTGGTTCATGACTTCATTCTGATGTTTTGATAATGTCGTGGAATTGTGAGGAAATTCTGAATAAACTTTATGTATTTTGGCAATTTTTGTCCTCTTTTGAGTTTGTCTTTCTATTGGAAATTTGGTGGGATGGTAAATCTGCTATTGAGGAGTTCCGCAATTAAAATTTTGTAATCATTGAGGAAGCTGGTTATTGTGAGATTAATAGAGGACATTATATATGAGTTTGGATGCTATTGTTAAGAAAATTGTTAACTTATAGAGTTTTGGTACAGAACAGGTTTTATTTGGTGATCAAATTTACATTAGGTAATTTTATCGTTATGTTTCGTTTTTTCTGTATCTAAAACCTGTTATTTGGGAAAATATTTGGAACAAGATTGTTATGGTTGTTCAAAGTTATAATGATGATATTCTAATGGGTGATTTTAATGCATGTGCAGGATTGACCCACAGGATTGGGCCCTAAAAATTTTGGGTGAGTTGGACTGTTATTGGTTATTGAGAATATCGCAAGATCTGATTATAAATGTGCAAGACAAATCAATTTTAAGTTTTTGTAAGAATTTTGGCTATCTGATTACGAATGGTAGAAATTAGTGTTGTAACGAATAGTATATTCGGCCTCAGGCCGAATACCGAA